GAGGGAGCGCCTGGACCGTGTGTCACCCTTCCACCAACCAAGCAATGCTCACGACTGCCCCGGGATTTTCCAAGACATAATCGAGGAGCATGCCGCATTCTAAGTCGCTCGTCTAACGTTACTTGGTTTGGCGAACTTGAGCGATGCATCGAGTCAAGTGAACATCGGCTTGGTGTCCCGTTAGGTCGTCTCTGTCAAGTGGCCGAAATGAATAGTCGACACGGACAGCATGGTCACCCACTTAGGGGCGTCAACCCCCGTGTTACTGAAATTGGAGCACGCGCATGAGTTGCACCGCAGACGCGGGACGCGTGAAAGTTGCCAGAAGCTTCCGACGCCGTGCGGCGGGCGTTGCTTGCGATGACACATTGCTCCTCATCAGACATGTGAATACATACTGCGATTGTCTCCCGTAGAGGTGACCTGGGGGGGGTCCTGGGGCTCCCCCCCACCTCCTTGGACAGTGATCCTGTTGGTACCTCGCCGCAACACAGTCCTAGCCATGTGGGGCAGCACATGGACTTTCACGCAAAGACTGGGCAATGATTGACCATTGTCGATTCGGGGTGTCTTTACGCACTGGTGTCCGCCAGTCCTCTCAACAACCCTGAGGCGGATCTTCGCAAACCTCCCAGATTCGACCCGGGCAACCGATGATGCGCGGGGACCATCCATGGCATCATTGTTCAAGGGTCAGTGTGGTTCTACCCCGTGCTGCCTTTGCACAACGGGCGACAGCATCGAGTTCTGCATTTTGAAGTCCCCCCTACTGCAAATAGCACCTGTGCCAAACTGCAAACGGTAGCAGCGCGCCCCGTCGAGCCACGCTTCGCGCTGGGGACGTCGTGATTGAGTGCATCGATAACCATCGGAATCGCCCACGAGTCTTTGAATCACACGACGTAAGCGCTGGTGGGGTGCACTTGCTATTTTTCCACAAGGGGATTTCTCAAGATCGTCCAACGAGTGGAAATATTTCTCACGATCGTCCCAGGTGAACGTTCGCGAGGTATTTTTATTCCAAATCGTCTATCGCGGCATGATTGGCTAAAAGTCAAACGAGCGTCACAACGTTGGAGGGCAGTCCCACGTGGGTTTTAGTCGTCTCCTTCCAGAATTTCAGCGGCCCCCTGCAATCACCTGCCGTCCACGACGTCACACCGAGCGCGACGGCCACTGAGCGGTATGACCCATCGACTTTTGATCGAAACTCATGTATACCCAGAGGTATGCAGTGTCTTCCTGCAATAGACTTTTAGCCAATCATGACGCGATAGACCATTTGGAATAAAAATACCTCGCGAACGTTCACCTGGGACGATCGTGAGAAATATTTCCACTCGTTGGACGATCTTGAGAAATCCCCTTGTGGAAAAATAGCAAGTGCACCCCACCAGCGCTTACGTCGTG